ATTTGATGAAAACCGGTTCAACTCAACTTAGCCTCAATCATAGTACTTTAGTTTTAAATAAATTCCTAACAAAACATCCTTTAAGTGTATGAGCAGGATATGCTCTAGAAGCAACCAATGCTAATTACCAAATTTGCACTTACTTTCACCTTTTCCAAATCCTTTTTGACACTATCTTCGACCATACGTAGGGTATGTCTGCGTCTTTCCTTAGCAGATTTCTTAGCTTCAGTTTCGAGTTGTTTTTGTTTCTGTGCCTCACGTTCCTTCTCCTGTATTGTAGCTCTGTCGCGTTTACGTACAAAAAGTGGTTTTAGACGTGGTTCATTGTCTTCCTCACTTTCAGTTTCCTCCTCATAATCTGAACTCTCGCTATCTGATGATTCTGATTTGTTTTCTTCTTCTTTTTGTAAAATCTGAAATATAGTTAGATTATTAAATTTTTTTTTTGTTTTTTTTTATTTTATTTAAGCAAAATAGTTCACCTCTTCTTCTTTTTGTTGCTGCAACATGCGTTGACGTAGTTTCATACGTCTCTTCTCCAATTCAGTTTCACTTAATTCTGAATCAGAGTCAGACTCTGAAGCTAATGTGATTTTATTTGTCGATGCTTCAATAGTGCGGTTGGGTTCATTCTCGCTTTCCTCTGATTCTGTTTCAACAAATTCTGGCTCATGTACATGTCGATGACGATCTTTCCGTTCCAGCTCTACATCATCTTGTTCTACGGGACGCGCACGTAGTCGCCTTAAACGTGGATCATCAAATTCAGCATCGTCATCTTCATCGGCTGCCCGCTGAAGTGCAATTTCCTCTTCACGCCTTAAGCGACGCTCCTGCTGTGCAATTGCTGCAGTTGTGCGCTTCCGATGATCGATGAAGTCTTCCAAGTCACTCTCATCGCTGCTAGAATCATTTCGTGCATAATCTGGACGCTTGCCTGATACGTACCGCTGCACTTTTACTTTTTGCATAGAAATCTCACCTAAAACATAAATAGAATGTAAATTAGCGTTGGCACTGCACTTGAACTTGCGCGCATTTCGTAATAACCTTTCTCATTTCGCACTGGCACAGCGCCTGCAGTGCTTTGTATGCCCGCAATAATTACCGGCAAACTCATCTTATTTTTTCAATTGAAATTGCTATCAACTTTTTTATAAATAAAATTTTCCCAGATTTTTTCTTCTTCTGCTTCTATTTGTTGTGTTCTATGTTGGCGATGAAAACGTTTGCCAGCTGACTGTCAAATTTGTGTGTATACAAAATTGTAATAAATTTGTTGCTATTTGTGGTTTGTGTCCGTGCTATTCGGTGTTGCGATGTTTTTGGCTCAACTGAATTTTTCAATTTCGTTTTAGTTTTAATTGTTTATTGTTGTTTTTATATTTTGCGTTATACAATTATACAATTGAATTTGTTGAATTAATTTTTGGTATTTATTTTCCTCTTACAAACGCAATAAGGAAGTAAAGGGCAAAAATAAAATATATGAAAATATTTCAAAATATATGCAATTGTTATTGTTTTTTAATTTGCGAAAAGTTAAGTGTAATAATAAGTGCAACTACTACGAAAAGACAGTTTCATTCCAATTACAAAAACAAAAAAAAAATAATAATAAGAGAAAATATTGTTTTAAAATATTAGCAATATCCGTTATTTAAAAATAGAGAAAAATATTTTCTCATCCACAAAAGAAAAAAAAAGAGAAAGCGGAAGTCACTAAGAGATTTGAATTGTTGATGAAATAAAAATAACTTGACAATTTTTAATTAATTAATAAATTTCTTTAATTGAATAATAACCCGTGCAAGTTGAATTTAAGTGGTGATACATCGATAAAAAATTAAAAATAATTACCGTGAAAAATTTGAACTTGGCACCGGATTAATGGAGTTTAATTAAACGCGAAGGAGAGAGCGAGACAGTGAGCCACGTAATTGCAATTTCCCAAACCGGGCACTTTTCCTTAAAAATACGTGTCTATGTATTTATATAGTATATTTGTGAAATATTTCAAAGTAAATTAACCACGTATAATTAGTGAGAGTATTTATAAACTTAAAAATTTTACATTTTATAAAATCAATTCAATTAGATAAATAATTATTTTAATTTGAAATTATAAAAATAGACGCACGTGCGGTTTAAATACATTAATCTACAAGGATAATAAAACGATTTTCATTCAGTAAAACTAAAAATAGACTATATATATATAGATAGCTATAGTAAGTACATAGGATTTAAATAATTTAAATAATTAAAATTAATTTAATAAATATTAATAAATTAAATTTGATAAAAACTTTGAGCTATTTTAGTATTTTAGATTTCTTCTACGGGAGACCGCCACATACTTATCGCCTAAGGACAACTCTCTAAAATTGCTGCCTATGGCATATGTGCGGCTATTTAAAACGCCATTTCGTTATATTTTATTATTAAACTGCCAACTCGAGAAGTTGAAGATTATACCGTAAACTCTGAATTCGGCAGAGTGGATTCAGTAAATTTTGAAGCAATATTAGTTTGGTAAGTCATAAATAATTTCAATTTAATTTATTAAAATGAAAAATATTTTTATTCTATTATAATTATTATTTTAAAATAATAAGCTATGAATGGTTATTGTTTTTGCTTAAGTGAGTTTCCAAACTAAACATAAACAGACTATGTTTACACTAACAAATTTCGGACATTATTAGCTTATTTTTGTTTGGATTTTGTATAAAACATGACAGCTGTAATTAGCTGCTTATTTGTAGAGTTATTTGCGATAGTATAAACACAACGTACGTATATTGTAATACAAAGTAGTGTGTTTTATAAGCATATAGCAAAAGAACAACATAAAATAAACTCTACTTTGATGGCAACTCTGGAAGAACCGGACATTTTGTTATGCTTATATAAAAAAAAAACAAAAAAATAATTAGGACTATTTATACTTGAAAAATTGCGTTGTTTATATCAATACTTAATAATTATGTCTAAATAATATATATGAATAAATATAAATATGAAGTATTGCTGTCGCTGTCCTCTTCTTATTCATTGCTTGGTGAATGGCTTTTTTTTATGGCTAATCACTAAGAGTTAATTTTTTCTTTATCTCTCATATTGACGTTATCAAAATTCACTGTTAGCTCTATTTCTACCATGTATTGGACTATGGATATCACACAATAGAAGCTGATTTCAACTGCCAGCTTTAAAGTCATACCTATGTTCATATAATGCTGGACGGTTTTTTATTTGTAGAATGCGAATTCATTAGAGTTAGAATACATGCTCTCCTCTTTTTCTATCGAAGTTGTTTCCAACATCATTCCGAAATTAGGAAATTACAAATAGGTACCATTGGCTTTCCATATATGGAAAATGCTTCATCTGAATCTATATCTTTAAATGATTTTATACTCCCTTTGTGAAATTCCAAATATAAAGTTCGTCATATTTTTATCACCTGTATTAGATATATTATTTTAGATCAGCAATCAATCGAGTTCTGATGAATTCAGAGTTGAAAAAATCTCATCATTTTTAAAAACAATCTGAGTCAAAAAGTACTTAACTGTAATAAAACATTTTTTAATTGATCAACTTTGCTTGAAAATATTTTGAATTTAATTAAATTTAATTAAGTATAAAGTTTTGAATTTGTAATTAACAAAAATCTTCCACTTTGCATTGAAGCGCCACACTAAGCTCAGATTATTTTACGTCATTCTGTCTCGCATATAATAAATAATTTACACAAATTAAAATGAAATTCAAAGAATTATATATAAAAACAAAAACAAAAACAAAGACAAAAACAATATAAACATATGACAATATATTAAGAATAATAAACAAACAAAAATTGCATAAATTATTTTATCTGAATCAAAAAGTATCTCACTGATAGCTCACGTGAGGTGCGTCGAGCTCAACTTGAACTCACGTTTATAATTTTGAAGCAAACGAGGTTAGCTGGCTTAGCGCACTTTCTTCTTCATCTTCCTCTCTTCCTCTTATATTAGATCGGGGAAAAACTTTACTCACATTCACGAGAGTATCTTTTTATCTCTTACCGGTTTTGTTTAGGTTTTGCAATAATTTAGTAAAAAAAAAAGTACAACTCCGATTTATGAGTTTGTTTTTGTTTTGAATTGTTTGTGTACTTGGAAGCAGGCATAAATACGTCACAATCTTCTATGTCATGGATGTTGTGATAGTCTTAAGCTGGCCTCTTAGAAGCCACAGCGTCACAGTTGTTTTTCTTGAATAGAAAAAATCCCAGTGTTGTGAGTTCGGTTTGCATTACCGGCTAAAACTGCTCTTGTGCGGATTTTGTTTTTACACGATTGTGTAATGAAGTTAAATAATTCTCTCTTAATTAATATGTAAAATGGTTGAGTTCATTAGTAAACAAAGAATTTGTTTAGGTACTTGAAGTCATTATTAATGCATTTCTTATTTGTAAGTTATTAAATGATTTACAATGTAAATTATGATAACAATGTTAGTACTTAAAATGAAACAGCATACTTTCAATATTTTTAGTTTGTTTTTAATGTAATTAAAATTTAATTAATTATCAAAAAAAAAATAATCAAATACCCACTATTCAGCTTCACACATGGAGTTCTTAATAGGTCAATGTATCTCAACCTTTTTGGTAGTACCTCCCGCTTAGATCAAGTTAATTGTGTCGAAGTTCCTAGGGATCCAATTAAGCCTTTTGGTCTAATGTGTTAGAATATAAAAACTCAGAAGTTTAAAAACTACGTTGAGTACTAGTTAAGACCTAAAATGCTTCTTTAAGGAAGGTCTTGGAGCTAGCTAAGATCCTGCAGAAAATAATTTCCTAATATGTTTTATGGGGTTATGAAGAACCCTCGCTGTTAATAGAGAATAAAAGTGCTCAAGTGCACTGACTCACCTAGCCTCAACATAATAATAGCAAACAAAAATTAAAAGTGTTTTTTAACAGCATTAAAAATAAATAAAATTAATTCACAATTTCTGTAGTAAACCCCTCTATAAAAATGTTCGATGTTAAAGAGGAAGAAGAAATGAGACCGAACTGTTATTAAAATAATGAAAAGGACTTAGACTGCAAGAAGTCAAAAGAAGTTAGATTCTAAATTAATTTATTGATTGTAGGTATAATTACTTTCTATGTGGAGTACCAATAATACGTCATCATGTCTCTTTTAGAAAGGATTAGAAGACATAAGTATTTTACACTCCTATGACACTATATTAAATGGAATGTTTTGGTATCGGATTCTAATGTACATATGGTGTAATATGAATTTGAAGTAAGTACATTGACACATAACTAAACTTACAAAATTGGGGTCATATATAGGATATTTATATATATGTATGTATAATTATATTTAATTGATACATTATTGAGGATATATAAAATGAGGATATATATAGTAAGAGCTAGACAAAGTATGAGGGTGTTAGGGTGTGTGAGCGTGTTAAAACTCAACTAAGTCCAGACTAAGGATTCGTACATCTCAATGCGACCGAGGCCATAAATGAATATACCTAAAATTTGAGTTTACATTTCGACGACGTCAAGAGGAGTAGATGTGCAATTGGGACACACATTTTGGTCATTTATACAAAATGCTGTCGTATTGTATGTTAAGATATGGATTTTTATGTTATTGTGTGACCTTGTGGGGATGAGTTGAGGATAAGGTAAGGCATTACATAGCGTGGTATTGCATTACGTGGCATTACATGATATGTTATTGCATTACGTGGTATTATCTAGTGTGGTATTCCATGATGCGGTATTATATGGTGTGGTATTGTAAGGTTTGGTATTAATTGACGTAGTATTGCATAGCGTGATATTGCATGTCATGGTGTATTATGGTATGCTTTGGGATGGTATGGTTTTGTTATAAGTTCGTTGTAGTAAATAAAGAGTGGTATTTGATTTACTTATGCTAATTTATTTAAGAAAGCCATTGGGTAATATATTGTGTATATTGATAAAAAAATATGTTTATTTACTTATAGGTTTTTATTACATTTAGTTTAACATTTAAATAAAAATCTTAATAGTTTGTTAATTATATGGTATAGTATATAGGTATGGAACACATTATTTAGCACCTATTATTAAATCATACTACAGTTTGCAGTAATGAACCTTAAAGTCAATTAATAAAAAGTGTTAATTAGTAATTTGCTTAATTAGTTAAGCAAAATTTATTAATTGTTTCAAAATTTTATTAATTTAGTGTTAATGATTTTAGAACTCCCGTGATTAAATGATTCTATTAAGATTTCATAGCAAAAAATGTTGTTAAGTGTTAATAAATTATATTATTTAAATAATATACAT